GAGCCAAAACCACCAGACAACAGATGGAGCACCACATCTCAAACTTTCCACATACCAAAACCAATGGTATCTTTTAAATCTGATTATGGATCTGCTAATGAAATTTGTTTATATGCATTTTCAGGAAGAGGAAACTATCTAGAATGGGAGAGAAATATAGACGATTGGTTTTACTATAACAAGATTCTTAAGGAGCAGAGATTAAACTATGCAATTGGCCTACTCACCGGAGATGCTTATGAATGGTGGTTGCAAGAAGAAGATGATCGGTGGTTCTACAGGAAGCCAACCATCACCATTTGGGGAGATCTTAAAACTCTCTTGAGAGACATATATGCACCAAAAGATTTAGTGCCAAAAATCAGGGAGCTATATCCGAGAAGTTTCGATATCCGCAAAGTTGACAAAGTTGCCCCACAAAAAAAGGCCAACGCCATTGAAGAGCAAGGAAAGCCCTCTGTTTTTCAACAAGCACAAGAACTAACTTGTTACAGGTGCAAGGACAAAGGTCATATTGCAAAAGCTTGCCCAAAAAGGAAAATCTTAAACAACTACATACCACAAGTAGAAGATGCAAGTCAAATACTTGTACAGCAAGCAACAAAGAAGGTCATGATCCAGCCAGAAACTCAAACTATGCAAGTAAGAGCTAAAACAGATGCTAATATTCAGGCTAGTTTTGATATTCAAGATCCATTCTTAATTAAACCACCAGATATGATGCACTTGTCCTTGCCAAAAGAGTTTTATGCAGGTTTAAAGGAGCAAAACCTTAAAACCATGGTGAACAAGGAGCAAGATGTGGGAATCAATGGAGAAAACATGATGTTTATTAAGGGGAAACCACCAATACACGAGCCGACACCAACACTGGAGCTTGCTGAAGCCAAAAACATTTCATTCAATATTGCAGCATTTAAAAACCAAGCATCAAGGTAAGTTTTTAAACACTGAAAATTTTCCAGAAACTAACTTAGCCTTGTTTGATGCAGATGCTATTGTTTTGAGGACAAACCTCTTCAAGAGGGAGAGTATGATGTAAGCATCAATGCTTATACAACCAGACCAAGCAAGAGAGGGAGCATTGGAGCTAAACCAGGTCTACATCAGTGGGGGCGTCTGCTCGAGGCAAACAAGCCTTACATCAAAATCATCCTTCATGGCCCTCATCTCTTCTTGGAAGGCAGTCAACATTTGTATCACGACGTCTTAGGGTACTTCTTCTCCCATGGTATTCCTGTATCACACAAAAATAACAAGCGATCAAAACACCACAATAGAGCTAGAATTAACTTAAACTAGCAAATAAAATATAAAGACGAACTCTTTTGGGGTTTTGGGGTTTATGAAAACAAAACAATGAACTAAGCGATTAACACAAGAACATATTTTCTTTTGGGATTTTCTTAAAGATGTAAATAATGCAAGCAAATAAAATGTCTAAGAAAATAATCAATTCGAGAATCTAAAGGAAACTAATCTAGATTCAGGGTATGACTAAACTTAAACAAGCAAACAACACGGAAACAAATACTTTTTATGGGTTTTTCTTAAAGCAAAAAAAAAAACTTAAACAAAGATGCAAAGAGAAAACAGTACTGACAGGGATATATATCACCTGATATAGAACCATTTGGCTCTGATACCAAATGGTATAAGACTCAGCTGACCGGATCATATAAGGATAGGAATGAACGTGCTGGCCTTAGACTCTCTCACGTTGATTCAAAGGATGGTAGGTGATGGTGGATCGATGGCACCACAGAGATGATGAGGGGATCTCTGATACAGCAAAATACTTGTAGTTTTGGTGAATCACACACGCAAAAGAACAAGCAAAATATTCAAGATTTTACTTGAAGAAGAACTGCCGATTTTATTGATATGAGGGTAAAAAGTTCTGTCTATAATGTCGCATATAGAGCTTTATTAATAGCTCTTCGACGTCGACCTTCTAGGGTCTAAAATAAAATAAAAACTAAACCAAAAATACAAGAAAAATAAACTAAAAGATTACAAAGTTTAATAGAAAAGTTCTAAAAAGAAACTAGTTTTATTCCTTGGAAAAGAAAAGGAAAACACAAGATACTGTTGCCTCTTGCTCGTTTGGTACGAAAATGGTAAGTAGTCTTTGGCCGCCAATCCTCTAAGTGTCGCCGTTTTGGTTAGGGATGATGATGAATAGATTTGGGCCGAGTGTATCCTTGAGGAGAGGCCATCCGTTGGGTCTTGAGTTTATCTTGAACTTTGTTGGCTTTTGATCCTCTTGAAATCGTCTAAGTGTAAGCCCGCTTGTACATCATATGATCACCGGTCAGTTGTCCCGTGATGCCTTCATCCGTGGTACATGGCTGGTACGTACTGTCGTCGTCCCGCGTGGTAATGTCTCCGTCCGCAGTATGGGGTTGGTTTGTAACGTTGTCATCTGGACCCGTAATGTCTTCGTACAGTTTCATAATGCTCTCGTCCGGCCTGGTAATGCTCTCGACCGTGGTATGAATGTTCATGATCCTCTCTACAGCCAAGTTGAATTTATTCCTCAAGGCTTTCTCCTATGAACGGGTCATGGGGCCTTCTCTCACCGTGGGTATGTCATCATGGTCTTCAGCTGGTACGATGCTTGCACCAAGTACCTAGAGTGTAGTTAGGAGTTGCATTGCATATTTGAAGCATTTTGAGCACTTGGCAGGTGCAATGAAGGAGTTTAAAGACTTAGAAGAGTTTTGGGAGTGATCTAGCAAAAGGACAGAGGCGTGAAGACCTCATATCGAGCAGTGTATCGGCCTACTAAGCCGATACAGAGCATACGGAGCAACATATCGACATGCATATGTTGATACAAGCCAAGGAGTCATACTGAGGTGCATATCGAGGTCCTAAGTCGATATGGCGAGACAGGATAATTCAAAGAGTATCGAGCTGCTCTAACCGATACATCATCTTCAGGACACCTGTACTGGTCTACATATCGAGGGGAGGCAAACTGATACTCAAGCCAGGACATGTATCGAGCAGACTATCGACTTGGTTTTGCTTCATATGCCTTAGAAAAAGAGATATTGTATGGACCAATGTACCAGGAAGACATGCCGATAAACCTTAGCCATAGGCAATTGTACCGATCAGTGTATCGGCCAGGCTGGGTCGATACAGCCTTCAACCAACCAATATCGAGCTATGTATCAACCACGCAAGCCGATACAAAGTCTTCAAACCAGCCATTTTTCCCGTTTATTTCCGGTTTACTAAGGTTTTTTTCCTGAAAACTATATATATATATATATGTTTAGACCCAAAAACATTAAGATCATCTTCTTTTCATCTTTTATCCTCTAGACATTAGCTTTATCCTTTGTATTTCTTCTTGCACCCTTGTAATTTTGTCTTGAATCTTGTTCTTTCAATCAAAGTTGGTGTTTATCTTCTTCCTGATTATGATTAGTCATTCTCCTCTGCTTTGGGTTATGGCTAAAACCATGATTAGTGAGTAGTGTGTTTAGGGTTTGAGATGGGATGGAGATAGGGAAATTTGAGGCTTGATTAGTAATTGTTTAGTTCTTAATCTTATTGTTTCTTCTTATTGATTGTGTTTAGTGCTAGATTAGCCCTTGCTAGTTGATCTAGATCCTAGGGTTCTCTTATGCCTGATAATTGTTTGATGAATTACCTGAATGAGTCAAATAAGAGATTTGCTTATCTTAGCCTAAATAATTAGCTGTCTAAGGAGTAGATTGTCATTATAGAATTGAATTAGTTACTCTTAATGCTTGTTAATCATCTGTTCAGTAATGGAAGTTGTCTTGAATTTGTGCTTAGCAAAGTGATTAGCACTCAAGGAATTGAGCTAGTCATAGCTGTTAATTATATGCTTAGGAATAACTTTTTGTGGGTTTGTAAGCATCACTAGTTAAGCTGAGAGTCTCCCTTGATCATTAACCCTATCTCAGTCCCACTTGTTTTTTGATTGTTTGAATTTAAACCTGCTATATAGTTCAGTCTCGCTTAGCTAATTGCTTTAGTTTGATCACATCTTGTTTTTGAATTGGTTTGAATTGAATGATCTATTGCATTCCTAGTGTCTTACTTTGCCCATTATGGATTCACTCATATACTACAATGATATGAGTATATGTGGGAATTGAAGTAGAGTAAACTCTTACATCAAAACCTGATGAATGTAAAACACCATATAGAACACAGACAATACATACATATAAAAAACCGAACCAAACATAAAAAAGCATAGGATCTGTAAAATCTTGATCACATATATTTCTTTTCAACAACCGTCTTGAGTTGTTCCATTTTGGCGATGAGCTCGGGATGCATATGGTCCTTTGCTTCCTTCACTAAACTCCCTTCTCTGTCTCCAACGCCATTTTTATCAAGCTCTGCAAATGCTCAGGCGTCCTACAATGTACCCACACACATCCTCAGATTCCAAATCTACATATAGTATAAGCCAGTTCTAGTTCTCTCATCCTTACGTGTATTAGGTATAAGTAGTCTACATCAGTCCCTTCGAGTTCCTCTCCAGGGCGTCTTCTGCCATATACTCTCCACCTCCGGTGACGTCTAATAAACTGATAGAGATGAAGAAGAAGACACGATTGAGACTTAGCGACTTTTGGTAGGAGACAGATTGAAAATGTTGATTATTTTGGGAATTTAGTGAAAACAAAACTCTGCACCTAAAGATAATGAATCGAAGAAAAACCCTTCAATTGTAGATTTAATGTAAAAACCTCTCAATTATCAGTCCCTTAATGAAAAAACCCTCTAGCACCGCCTGTCGGACAGGGAGGGTTACGGCCATGGATTGAGCTTGGAAGAGTTACAGCCATGTATTGAGCTTGGAAGGGTTATGGACATGGATTGAGCTTTGTTTATCCGGTGATGTTGCGGCGAGAACTTAGAGGTAGATTTGATATTTTTTTGTTTTGGAACTGCAATTTGAAAATAATATTGCTTGATGACGTTGTATTGGTTCGATCTGCAAGAGACCAAAGCAGGATGGTGATAAAGCGAATGTTGGGTTTAGAAGGCCTAGACTCTTTCTCTGCTGACCCATTGGTTGGTGATGGGTCAATCAGTGTTGTGGTATGAATATTGACCAATCTCTCCATTTCAAAAATTTCATATTTTGGTACAAAATGTGCAAACCTCAAGGGTTTAGGTCTATGATGCTCCAGTTCTTTTATGATGTTCCAGTCTTTTAAAGAGAGTTGAATTCACCGTTTAAACTACTTTTGTCTTTAAATTCCAGATTTTTTGTCAGCTCTGTTTTTACACAACTTTTTCTTCCATTTATGATGAAACAGGTAAATCCACACATACATCAAGTAAAACTATGTAATTTTGGTAGTGAAAAGTATTGGCGCGTTGAATAAATCTCTTTTGAATGCATATTTTTTCTTGGAAAAAGAAAGATGTCAATTTTTTTTAAAACTTTCAGAAATAGGTAAAGGGAGAACTAAACATCTCCTAAATTTGCTCGAGGTATTACAGAGCACCTGAACTTATTTTTGGAGCAACCGAGTATACGACAGCCATTGATGTCTGGTCTGCGGGATGTGTTCTTGCTGAGCTCTTGCTTGGACAGGTAATGCAAGAAAATCTGATTCAAACATTTATGCTCTACTAAAACTTGATTTTTGTGACTGACAAAACCTATCCTCTGCTCATGACAGCCATTGTTCTTCTGTGAGAGCGGTGTTGATCAACTTGTAGAGATTATCGAGGTGGCATTGCTATTGTTCATTTAATAACAACTTCTTGTTTTCAGTAATTTTGATATCACATCTGATGTAATGCTTAATGTCTTGCATTGAGTAGGTTTTGGGAAAGCCTACTAGGGAAGAAATCAAGTGCATAAACCCTAATTACACGGAATTTAAATTCCCTCACATTAAAGCTTATCCATGGTATAAGGTATGATTAATCATCAATATACATAAGACCAACGTGTGCACTGTGTGTTCTTCAGTAGCAGTTATACGTATTTTTTGACATATCTTCTTATCATATTATTGACAGATATTTCACAAACGCATGCCTCCGAGGCGGTTGATTTGGTTTCAAGGCTTCTTCAATACTCTCCCAATCTACGATCTGCCTGTGTGAGTGTAACAAGTCGACTTTCTTCTGTGAATCTTTTCCTTGTCCTTTCACTTCTTTTGTTTTAGTTTTATCTCACTTGCATTTACTTGAATTGTAAATTTAGCCACAGCTCGATACATTTTTTGATGAGCTAAGAGATCCAAATGCGCGTCTGCCTAATGGATGTTTCCTTCCACCGCTTTTCAACTTCAAGTCTCACGAACACATCACCACTTTTATAAATTGTATCTCTATCTTTCACGTATCCAAAAATTTCATATGTATCTTTAGTTTGTTGTATAATTAGAAACAAAGAAAAGAGTAAGTATTGTGGTTGGTGTATAACGTAATAGCCAGTATTTTAACCAAAAGTTTTGTATTTGTGCTTTTGAATCTTTTTTTCCTCAATCTATAATCGTAATCTCCGTTAAATCAGTATTGGTCACTATAGCAAATTAGTTAAAATTTTAAACTGAACTAAACCAAAAAATAAATCTATGAGAATGATTAAGAAGGTAAGTGTGACCTTTTTTTAACCAAACCAAGTTTTGAATTGAGCTCATGTGAGGCTTCTTGTATAATCGTCATGGTGGATCAACGGCGGTGATCAGATAAAGAGAAGGTCATGCCGTAAGGGAAATATTATTGTGAAAAGGAGTTTCAGGATACTCAAGTTGCTAGAAAATGACATCTTCAGAGCAAACCTCACATTCGAGCTAAGGCCCTTTGGTACAGCGCTTTTTCGTATATCTCTCTCTCGCCAGCAGAGAAGACAGACAGCGCACTCAAGACAAGGCCCGTATCCAGAAACTTTTATATTGTAGAAAGTAGAAACATATAAATTTTGACTTGGATAACTTCTATACTAATTTCTATTTTGTCATTTAATTTGTTAAATTTTCGAGTACTTAGAGCATTTGCATTTCCTAAAAAAAAAATTTGAATAACCAATCACAAAATTTTAATTTTAGACATCACTTAGAATGTACACATGTGATATCTTGCTATTTTAGAGCATTTTAGGCTGCATTTCATGTAATTTTTCTCTTGTTTCTGCATTATAGCATAACATTTTAGACTCCTTTGCACTTATAGTCAACTTTGCATACATTTAGTTTAAGAATGCATACATCTGCATATATATGCATGTTTATGGTGACTTTCAGGTGTTTTTGGGAGAGTTTTGGAGTTGAGAAGGAGATGGAAGCAACTCATGTTCGAAGGAGATGCCAAAGAAGCATATTTGCAAACTCTGTATCCATATCGAGGTCCAGCATCAAGCAGAACATCCGTGAAGCTTGCTCGATGTGAAGCGTGGGACGAGGAAGAAAGATTTGACCGAGGACTCCGAGACTGCACCGAGGTAGTGCACCGAGCTAGGCATGCCGTACAGGCCGATACGAATGTACAGGGCATATCAAGGTGTAGCATCGAGGAGAACACCGAGAACCCACCTCGATATCGAGCTGACCACATCGAGCAGAACACCTTCCCTTGCACCATGATGTGTCAACGCCGAGAGTTGACCAAGATTTTTCTAATTTTTGTCAAACCTTATCTTCTTAGCTTATTTAAGCTAAACCTTATCTTTTTTAGCACTTATCTTCTTCATCTTGACCCTATTTTCGACCCTGTGGGAAACTACAAAGAGATTTTTATGAGATTTTGATCTAGATCACCTTTTTAATAAAGTTTTGCACTTCATTTGTCATTTTTTTTCTAGTTCTTGTTTAATCATGCTTGATCTGTCATTTCTTCTTGTTTCTGTTGATTTCATGGTGTGTAGTGAGTAGTTTCATATGGTTTGAGGTTATAGCAGATTTGGGGATGATTGGTTGATGACTAAGGGAGTTTTGATTTGATTCATGCTTAGATCACTTAGCTAGGTTGTTCTTAATGCTTTAGTAACTCATCTAGGGTGAAACAGATTATAGGTGTTTGCTGCATCACAAGTGTTTGTTTAAATGCCTGAAAGAACTTTGCTAAGAACAATCGCTTAGATGATTATATTGTGTTTAGGTTGTTTGTTTGGTTTTTAAGAGTCTTGTGTTTTCATGCTGGTTTTACACATATACGCCATCACAAGTGGGACTGACATATGCTTAACTTAGACATCTCTGTTATGTTTGAAGATTGATTGAACTAGTGGCTTGATCATGTTCTTTGCTTGTTATTGGTCTTGACTACCCTAGGTTTGATACTAAGTAATCCCCAAGTCATCATTGCTCTAGCCTTGAACCTGTGCCTCATTGTTCTTTGCATTTTGATCATTTAGTGCTCTGTTTTCCTCTATTTTTAGTTGCTTTGCTTTTGTTCCATTCCTTGCCTTGCATTTCAAGTTATTGAATTTAGCATTCATTTTGGTACTTGCACTTTCATTGTTTTGTTTACCTTAGTCCTTTTGCATTTAGATCACTGCATTATTAGTTTCTGTTGCATTGCATTACTTGCTTTAGTCTTGCTAGTTTTCTCTTTTGTGCATGCATTTCATCTTTGATCTCTTAGGTTGTTAGAATCACCCTTCTTTGTCATACATGGCTCAGCTTAGTTAGTGTCTTGCATCTCTTTTATTTTAGCTCCTAAATGGATTGATAAAACCTCCTCTATACTACATCTGATTAGAGAGGGATTGAGTTGAGACCCAAAAGTCCTTCTTCAATTTGGCGCCGTTGCCGTTCTAGGATTGTTAGATAATTGAGTTTAGGTTCTTACTTAGACTTAACCACCTATTAATTTACTAATCACTTTACATATCTTGCTCTCTATTCTCAGGTACAATGGATGATCAACAACATCATAGACATGCTCATCAAGCTCAGTTCAGAGAAGATGAAGCACCAGTTCAGAGGTTACATTGGCCAGTGCCTCAGATTGCTAGAAGAGCACAACACATAGGATCTCATGATGCTCCTTACCTTTATACTAGACGCCGAGGTATACTTCCTCCACCATCTCAAGAGCATCACTTTGAGATCAAAAGCAGTTTGATTGCAATGGTACAAGCCAACCGCTTTAATGGCACATCTATGGAGGATCCGCTTGATCACTTGGACAACTTTCAGAGTCTTTGCAGTCTACAAAAGATCAATGGCATCACAGAAGATAGTTTCAAACTGAGGTTATTTCCTTTCTCTCTTGGTGAACGTGCACATTTGTGGGGAATATCATTGTCTTGTGGATCAATCTGTTCTTGGGATGATTGCAAAAACGTGTTTCTTTTCAAAGTTTTACTCTTCTACCAGGACAGCTACGCTAAGGCAGAACATCTCAGGGTTCAAACAATCACAAGATGAGCCATTCTGTTCAGCATGGGAAAGATTTCAAGGTTACACGATGCGCTGCCCTCATCAGGGTTTCTCAACAGAGTCATTGTTCAGCACATTCTATAGAGGAGTGTCACCACGGTTCAAGATGCTGTTGGACACAGCTAGTAACGGCCACTTCTTGGGTACAACTGTTGATGATGGTTTGCAGCTGATTGAAAACCTTGCCTTGAGTAATGGTGACTATGTGGATGAGCAAGAGGACAACTGCAAGAAGAATACTAAAACCTCATATCACCAAACAAAGTTGGATGTGTTAGCACTAAACGCTAAGCTTGACTTGTTGCTTGAGCAATCTCTACATCACCCACCAAAGGCAACAGAGAAGACATCAGCTCTTGGACATGCTTACAACTTAGAAGCTGAAGCCTACTATGCGCAGCAACAAGAGACTTTTCATCATAAACCTTACCAGGATGCAAGCTATGACAGCTACAATGCTTACAATAGTCAAGCGCACACAAGAGAGAGTGCTCCAATATACAATCAGCTTGGTATTCCCATACAACAAAACCACAGGTTTACACCTTCATATGAAGAACACCAAGAGCGTATGTATGCAACAGAGTTTGTTCCTCAACATCAAGTAGCAGCATCACCAGTTCAGGATGTCCCTAGACCTTCAACAGCATCACCATCTACGCCTGATACAACCACAACTAGACTGCTTGAGCAGTTACTTGACGCTCATACAAAGAGTACAATGGAGATGAAGGCTGCACATCAACTTGAGATGCTTGCTAATCAGAAGAGTGCAATGGAGATGAAGGCTGCACATAAAATGGAGATGCTGGCTATCCAAAACAACCTACTGCAGAAGTTTGAGAGAGTAAGTGAAGAACTTGCTATGCTTAAAGCCATAGGTCTCCTCTATTACAGCGCCACAACACCCGCCACCGGCTGTGCAAACAATAACCACTAGGAGTGGTAAACAGCTACAAGGTCCTGTAGCACCAACACCTCTCCATGTGGACATTGAGAAGCAAAGCAGAGGGGTGTCTCTTAAGACTCATGAAGAATAAACCGAAGCTGAAGCAGAGATGGAAAGGAAAGCTGAGGCAGAGCGTGTGATAAAAAGAAAACAAGTGGTTGATGAAGCACAAAGAGAAGCCATACAGCCTACAAGGAAGGAACCTGTCTTTGTTCCTCCTCCTTACAAGCCACCACTTCCCTTTCCAGGAAGAATCAAGAAGCAATTAATGGAGAAGTACAGACAACTTTTTGAGAAGCAGATAGAAAATGTGGAAATAACCATGCCCATGTTTGATGCATTCTTGCTGGTGCCTCAATATCAGAAGTTCTTGAAGGATGCAATTACAAATAAGCAGAATGAGATGCAATGGATGGTTGTTCTCACTCATGAGGTCAGTGCCATCATACAGCAGCTTCCTCATCCAAAGAAGCTAGGGGATCCTGGAAGTTTCACTCTACCCTGTTCCATTAGACCTCTCATATTTAACAATTGTTTGTGTGATCTTGGAGTTAATGTAAGCCTGATGCCTCTTACTACTGCCAAGCGCTTAGGATTCACAAGTTTTAGGCCAAGTAGGATAACTCTTGTGCTTGCTGACCGCTCTGTTAGACATTCCATTGGACTGCTTGAAAACCTTCCTGTCCGAGTTGGGAGTACTGAAGTCCCTACTGACTTCGTTGTTTTGGAGCTTGAGGCTGATCCAAAGGACCCCTTGATACTTGGGA